TATATATTTATGTTGTTGGTATAATATGTCATTTGTATCTGGAGTATGTAACGAATATAATTTCCCTCTGGGATTATTAAAGTATTTCTGAATCTGAATCTGAATCTCATTAAGAAAGTAAGGAGCCACTGTTTTTATTTCTCCAGCATTCACATGTGATGACTCTGATTACGTAGATCTGCGACTGACTCCTCACATTGTGAAACTGTCACTGGGAAGCTAGAGGGTTAATGACATCATGTGGGACTTTAGCTGGAAGCAACTTTTCAGGATGTGATCTTCCAGAGAAATCAGGTTTCCATTTGTGAGAATGGAAACTGCAGAAAGGAATGGGGAAAACCATCTAAAATGTTATGCTACAGTAAAATCATGACACAGTGTTATTAGGATATCGGCTGACAGATGGATTAATAAGTAGGATTTACTTTGGGTTCTGGAGAAATTCCACTGGACTGATTTGCCAGTTGCTTGCGTAACTCAGACCTGCATGGTTTCATATTACAGAGAAAGCAAAACATCAAATTATGTTGTGTCCTTCAGGGAACAGGAGGGTTAATGACTTTATCAAACAAAACATCTATGAAGCTGTGTAGAGTTTAAAATTGTTATGTGTTGGAAAAATGCCCAGCAGGGTTTGATTAAAAGTGTCTGCCGTACAGTTGGAAAAATGCTCTGTCACAGAATTAACTTATCACTTTATGTATCCTTTACTGAAGAGTGAGACTCTGACTGCTGAGACATGCAAGAAGGCCTATCAACTAGCAGAGAGTGGGGACAGGAAGTAAAGTGTGGGGGGTGTTTATCCTGCAGTCTGGTTAAGAATGAATGTGATTAATGTTCTCTTTTGTTTTCTTTCTTTCTTTTTTGGCTATAAAATGGCTGGGTAAACCCTCCCATGACAACCTCGCGAAAATTTAAAAAATATCAATATATCAGTGCTGTTCCTATAATCATTCTTATATATCTTAATAAAATACAGACTTCCACCAAGTTACCCTTATAGTAGAATTCCCTGCATTAAATTACTTGAGTAGTGTTAAAATTGCTATTTAGTTATTCTTGGTGATTATGAGCTGTCAAGTGCCAAGCAGTGTACATTTCCTTTTACACTGTAATTTAATGTAAGAATCAGGGAATCATCAAACAAGCTCTATTTAGAAACCACACAGCTGCTTTCCTCTTCTGCTTACTATAAAGGTCCATGGGAATCATAACAGATGAGATGACACTGGCAAAATATCCCAGAGGACTTTGCTCTGGTTCCCATGGTCAAACAGGGCCTCTTAGGTCAGACCCTACATCCTCTGTTCAGTACAACACACGGCTTTACAAGCAAATCCACAATCCCATAAGATAAATAAAACTTCATCATTAGAGGTTAAAATAACAGACAGTTTTGTGGTTATGTCATTACTTGGTTGTTTAATTAACAACTTAAAAACAG